ATTCTTAGTAGAAAATATTAATTTTTTTACACATTGTATCCTTATTCAAAAATAATTATTTATCTGTCGAAAAAATTACATTTTAATACGAAATATTTTCTATTTTAGCTGCACAAAAGTTATTAAAAAAACTTCATCCACATTTACATACATATGGTTCATTAATTCGTTTATATGAAAAAAATGCTGATACATATAAACGTGTTCGTGTTGATGATGAATTAGCTGATATAGTACGATGTGCCAAAAAGAATGAACCAAATCATGCATTATTAGCTAAACTTCGTGAAGAAATGTTAAAATTAAAAACTAGTAAAACATCATCATCTTCATTTAATCAATATGCAATACACATTGTTGATGTTAGTGATGAATTGCTTGGACGTTCATCATCATCAACATAGAAATCAATATGAATATTTCTTTTTTTATCATTTTGTTTAATATCAAATCGGGTTAACACGAAAACAAAAATTCATTCTTTTTTTTTTTTTGTTTGTTTGTTTTTTTCAATACTTTTCTTTTCGAGAAATAAAATCTCACGCATACAAAAAACAAAAATACAATACACAATTATTTTTAATTTAAACTTTTATCAGGTATAACAATATGTTTTGGTATATAACCTTGACGTCCATCACCACGTCGAATAAAACGCCAATCATTATCTATTTGAGTTGTATGAACAAGTGTAACAACTTCTGATTCCAGTACACTAATATCACCGACAAATTTTCGTTGATAATTTTCCATAACACGTAAACGATTATTTGAATGATATATAATTGGTTCACTATCTAATACACTAAATGATAAACTTTTACATGGTGTTAAATTAAGTGTTCCATATGCATCATGATCATAAGCATGAAGAGATATATTTGAGATTTGTCGAGATAAATTTGATTGATCTTTATTTTGACGCGTATATGTTCCAGATTTATTTATACGTGAACAAGTTAGAGATGTTTGTTCAATATTAAAATGGCATGGTCCAATAGATGAAATAAATCGACCAGGTTGAGTTGGTGTTGATATAGAATGAGGTTTTTCATAAATGCTTACATTTAATAAACTTAAGTTATTTTGTGAAGAAGATTCTAATGATGAATCTGATAAACGTAAACAATAAATAGGTACAAAACCAGTTTGACCTGTTTCAATAATTTCAATAAATACCCAATTTGATATAGAATATAGAGCTTTGACAGATGTACCTTAACATAAATTAAATTTTATTTATTTATTTATTTATTATCGAAACAAGTATTTCAATATAAGACAGTGTTCTGTATTGCGGATTCAGTGCCCTTTCTTCCACTATAAATCTCTGTCGGAAAGAGAAAATCTGAATAAAATCCTAGTAAAAACGGGAAACATATTAAGGATAAAATCTATTTCAAATAGAAATAAAATGTATCAGGTCTTTTAATTTCTATAACTATGCCTGTATACTCAAGCCATTGGCACTAATATCTCAGATATTTTCTTCCTTGTGTTTTTCCATTAGAGCCTATCGAGTCTGAAATTATGAAACCTGAACTCGAATCATACTTTGATATTCTCAATAAAATTTTCTAATCGGAACTGAATAGTCGTCCTGAAGATAAGTGATAATTTTTTCCGTATTTTTTTTTTGTATTTGGTGATTAGTGAACCATACATACTCTTCAGACGATTAAAACCCATAGGCTCTATATTCTAGTCATATTGACACAATGTCTCAAAGTATTATCTATCAACAATATTTAAAAAAATAAAATAAAATAAAATTTAACACATTTATGTTTTCTAAATGTATTTTTTTGTATGACAAATGTCTAGACATTAAAATGAAATCAAATACAATTCTATTTGCTTCCAATTATATAGTCAAGCAAAAGAAATATTCAAGGTGGATAAAATCAATATAACGCTTATATGTCTAACTGTCTTTGATTATCGGCTTAGTCTTCTACCTGTCTATAGACAAAGATTTATAATAATAAAAAAATATTGACTTAAACGATGATTGTTACATCGTATTGTTCATCTTAAGAAACGAAACGGAAATATAGGTGTCAAAATGAAAACGAAAGCAATTAAACAGTGGTAGTTCAATTATATAAGAAAAAAAAAATTCTTAATCAAACAATCGTAAGAATTGTTCAAATAGAATTAAGTGGCAATATACCTTTCGTTACAGCAATTGTATTCTTATTAAATTGTGTTGATTTAGCATGTAAAGGTTTATATGATTGTTTTACAATCATAGATAAATTAGCTGGTGATGTTGATGTAGCATGTGCCAAATGTTCAAATGATTGTTCACTATTATCAATAGCTGCTATTGTTGCTGTTGTTGATGATGACGAACATTCTGTTTTTGGTCTTATACGAGTTGATAAACGACATGTACTTTTACTTCTTTGTTTATAATTATAAATTTTTGAACGCTAAAAAAAAAATTAATTAGATATAATTTATATAGTTCATTAAATCATACTAATTTATTAAATGTCGTTGATTTTTTCTGTGTTGTTAATGTGTCCGGAATTGCATGACGATAAGTTACAAATTCATAACAAGCATCTTTATTGATCCGTTTACATGCGCTTGTAAGTTCTAGATGAAACAAAAAATAAAAAAATAAAAAAAGATCAAACGATTGACATTAATGCATGACTAACTGCTGAGTTCAATCATTTTCGAATTAAAGTGTCCTCTTGAAAAACTGTTTAAATATCCTCTCTTTTATATTTAAATTCTCTTTTTTTTTTTTCTTTATTTCCGCATTCATGCGTTCTCTTTTGTTTTTCATGAAACAGATGTTTATGTTTACAAAAGACTGCATATCTACATATGAATATGTGATTAGAACGAGTTTTCTTTGTGAATAACAACAACAACAAGAATATTTAATGATTATCAAAACATTTCAACTCACTAAGAATGTTGCAACCAGTCCACATTATTTTATATGAATGAATGAATAAATATCAGATAGAATACATTTCTATACTCACAGCAGGATATGCTTTAGGCGATGAAAAACGAATGAATAAAATTACATGTTATGTATTGAATCTCATCTGTATATTTTTATATGAGAAATTCAAAGAAAAATTGATTCTTATATTTTAAAACAAAAAAAAAAAGAGTTCTCTTCTTCAATCTATTGTATAATATACCCTAAGGAATAAAAATCATTTAAGAACAATTATCAAAGTTGGTTTTTTTTTCTTCTAAATTGAACAATAACGTTTGATATTTACCTTTAACATGTTTACGAAATTGAAGTGTTCGAAAAAGTTTCATAATTGTTGTCGATTGATCCATCATTTTAAATGATAATATTCATATTAGAAAACATCATGGATAATATATATGTATATTAATATATTCTAATCAAATGTTCTATCCTTCTATTTGATTCAAATCTAAATGAGAGAATGAAGAAGAAAACAACACCTGCTTGTTCTTCTCTTTCGAACCAATCGTTGATTTAATAGCAACAACAGAAAGAGAGAGAGAGAGAAAAAAAATTTCTTCTAATTGAACATGATGACCTTCAATAAAGTTCACATTTGATATTTTTCTTTTAAGTTACTCATATGTGATAATGAGAATAGAGGGGGGGGAGGATGGTTTTTTTTACCCATGCTGAGAAACGATCAATATCACTGATTATCACGCATTATGACGGTTATATTTATGTTCAATCAAGATTTCTTTTTTTTATTACTTGATTTATCTCATGGGAATATGATTTTTATCGAGCCGAGAACATTTCAAATGTAATGAAAAAACAATGAAACAGATGATGAGCATGACAAAAGAATATTTTCTGAACACTTGCTTGTGAATTTTAGAGGAGATTTTTTTTCATCGACATGTTAAATCCATTCGATGATAATAATAATTTGAAGTTTTCTATAAAACTGTTATGGCAAGATTTCTAAAAAAAAACCGGACAGTATAGTTTTAAGGTGTCGAAACTATTTATAAACAGTGCCATTTTAAAGAGAACATGATGAAAAGTGGTCAAATGTTATCAAAACAAACGTGCTTTTTACGATTGTTGTGATTCGGTTAAATTTTTATGAGACGACCGTAGAGAAGATGGCACAAAGTCTTCTGGGACTTGTAAATTATCGTGTCTGAATTTTTTAGAAGCCTTGCCATCATAGTTCAATGATGAAATCTTGGTAAAAGAAAACCCTATTGGTTATGCTGGATTTGAACTAGATACCTAATATAATAGCAAAAGAATAGATGGTTGTTCAACTCTTCTTCATCAGTTTATTTTCCTTTTTGTTGAAGAATAAATAATGGGAGTACATACTCAACTGCTAGATACTGCTTTCTGTATTAAGAAAAACTTGGAAAGATTCGAAACTATGATCTACTGCTGAAGAGTTCTAACCTTTTTCATGAAATTTTTACTAAGAGCAAAAGATTTCAGAAAAACTTAAAGCAAAGAGTTTTGACCTGAAGTTTAGTTTCTCGACATTCATTAACTAATCCTCAAAATTTTCAACAAAAACGAACAAGTCTTTCTCAACATATTTGATTTCTAAGTAGATGTTATGTTCGAAATTGAATTAACTCGAAAAAGATAAGACCGTTTTCGTTGAAATCTACTCGTAGTCATTATAAAAAATTGATTTAGTGGAATCTACTCATGAAAAACTCGATCAATATCGAACTCTGTTAGTAAAATATTTAACATATTTTGTATTTAAAAAAAAACTAAGCAATAAAATTCGAGAAATTCTGATTCATGCCTATTATCATATTGATAACGCTTCTGTAATTTTAGCCGATTAGTTGTTTGAAAAATTGTAACAGAAGTGGCATGTGAAAATTTTTTCTTTTAACTTGCGTAATGAGCCATGATAACAATCTAGATCGAACGGACACAGAGAATAGAATAACGTGTAAATATGTTCGAATAAAATTTGATAAGATTCATTTATTTTTTTTTTAACTTCAAAAAAAAAAAAAAGAAAACAAAAGATTCATACAGTAACATCATTTATTTGTTTCCATAAAAATGAGTTTTCTCGATCAAAATGTTTCTCAATAGTACCATTGGATAAACTACGTTTTATCCAAATTTGTTCTGGATAATTATCATATAACGATTGTTGCGAATGAAAAGTTAATGTCTTCTTTATACAATGATGTCCAACACTAAATGTTTTTTTTAATCTGTCTGTTGTACAATCTATGTAAATTGGTTGATTTAATGCATTCATTGATAATGAACAACGTTTTGAAGGATTTTTTTTATTGGTAAAAGAGACAATTGATGAAAATGATGATTTTGTTTCTATAAGAGGATTTTTAAATGTTGTATCACGATTTGTTGAAATATTTGATCGAGATGATTGGCGAACAAATGATGGTGGAGTTCTTGTGACACTTGTTATCGGTGAACTAGGATCCTAAAAAGATTTATATATTTTTTAAAGACTAAAGATGAATGAACTATGATTAATCTTCTTCTGGTAAACAAAATGAGATTATTAGTAACATTGTAAGAAATCCACAAGGCATGAGATTTGGTGTGGATTTGATCTTGAAAAAAAAAAGAATAATATTTAGAGTTTACATTTTGATAACAACCACCAAATTGCAAATTATTTATATGGATTTTCACCAAAAGCAAATCCAAACATAAGTCGACAAATACAAATACAATTAATTATTGTCGAATATTATTTCTTTTTCATGCATATGAGAATTCATATTAAAATTTGATGAGAAGTAATTTTTGGACATAGTGACATTTATTTTTCTATTTATCTCTTCGTCTGTCAATAATTAAATAGATCGAATCTTTTCTTTTAGAAATATTTAGTTTAGAGAGTGCATGTACTATATAACTGTTCATGGTAGAAGTAAATCTCACAATCAATCGGTTAAAAAAATAGTATTGTTATTTTTTTTCTTGGAAATCAGTTTCTTTTCAAATTGACTCATACATCATACATGCTCACTACTCATTAAAAAAAAAAAGAATTATTGATACGATGACTTATATGGTTGTAACAAACTGTCGAATCATATGACTAATATAAACGATATAATAGTCATTCTCATGATATTAAAAGAATATTTGATGCCTAATGATAAAACAATTGAGAAGACTTTAAATTAAAATATTCATACCGTTTCATTATATTGTCCAATTAATTTTTGTTTCATATCAAAGTTTTCTTTTTTATGTGATGTAAATTTTGATAAAGTAGATGTCCAAGATCGTTGATTTCGATTTGATATATGTGATTGCTTTTGTGAATGATTACTTGATGATTTTTTAAAATATTTTTGATTTGATTCATAGCTTATATTTGACATACGAGGATTTGTACTTTGTGGATGTAATGAATAATTTGAATGATTATCCAGACAATTAAATGACATATTATCAATTGATAGTGAGTGTTTATTATTACCTGTTTTTAATTTATAATTTGGTACAATATAAGGTGCACAATATTTACTTATAAATGAAAAATTTGAACTAAATGTTGAACGAAATCGATCCGAAAAGCAACAATATAATAAAAAATTTATTGAAGCATTTACAGCAACTAAGCAATTTGCAAAATTATTATAAATGAGAACTTTTGATGCTTGAGATAATTTAGGAAAAAATGATTGAACTGTTAAAGATATTGCTTGTGGTATTTGACATACAGTAAATACAATAACAACAGCAACTAAAATTTATTTTTATTTTTGTAAATAATTAATAATATTTCATTTTAAGCATTTTAACAACTTACTTAACATAATTGTTATTTTTCTTTGTTCACCTTGACTGTTTTGATTATGCCGACGTAATTGAATTCCTTCACTATTTCGATGTTCATTTTGTTTTGAACGATGAACATGAATAATTAGAATTGTATTGAAAATAGCAAGAAGTAATAATGGTATCCAAATAATAGCAAATCTATAAAAAAAAGAAAACAAATATACAAATGATTTTCTTTGTTAGTTCTGGATATGAAATTTAATTTGCACTAATTTAATTATTAACATTCATTTTTATTAATGTTTAATATTCAAGAATTTCTCATTATTTATTGAATACGTCACTTTGAATTAATTCGACCTTAAGGTAAATGTATGAGACAATAGCTCGAGGTAGATATGAAAGAGATGGTTTCTGTCTCACCGAAGCTAGTACAAAGTGTTTTTTTTGACCAAAATCAGGATCAATACTTTCTCATTGGAAGTGATATCTTTTATAGTCGTGTATAACTTGCGTCCAATGCCATATTCTCATGACTCATGTGTTTTGAAACTTTATTCAAAAATTATTAATTAACGATCACTGCAATATTTGCTGTTACGATTTTGATAGTATAATTAATCATTTGTTTCTTTTTTAAAGAGCAAAGTACACGAACATGTCAATCTACAGAATAGATGATGTATTAACCAGTTAAAAAAAAATAACGAATATCCAAGAAACAGAATATGTTTTCTAAGTGGAATCAAGACCAGTGCCAAAAACCATTAGTCCCGTTCATCACTTGCCAGGGGGTTGATCTTTCATGAATGACATGACTTTTTATTCGGTACTTCCCTTTTTGATGAACTTTGTCATCAATTGCTTGAAAAATAGGCTGTTTTCAAAAAAAGTAGGAATTCTTTTTTGTTTTTTTGTTTCTCTGTTTATGTTCTTTCCAAATTCTCGAAGGAGCTTCATTGTAACTGATTGCATTCTTAGTTTTAGAGAGTACGTTAAGATGTAGGACATGTCCATAGCTTTTTTTTTGAATTAATTCTTTTTTTTTATTATCATATAAACAATTGCTTGTATTATTAGAATGTCTTTTTTTCGAGTTTTTTGATATCTTGAACTTTTCATCTCTTTTCTTCTTTTAAAAAGTAATAAATAAAAATAAAAGCTTCCAATATGTTTCTTAAAACAAAAATAACGAAATGTTTAGAATGAAGACCTATCGAGAAATTCGGGTTGACAAATAAGCTATTTTCGACTCTTGCCTGTTGTATAGTTACCGAAAGCGTCATGGTATAGGACTGAAATTTTCATGTGATTTGAATATATCTATTCCAAGATTGATTTTTGAGGAGAAGAAGACCTTAATTATTATAAGATTTTTTTTGTTGAAATTTCTTTAAATTAATTATTGAAGGTAACTTTTGAGTATTTTGAAACAAATTAGAGATACAATTAGTTTAAAATAATGCAGGTCAGTAAGTTTCGTACTGCACTTAAACTTCTATATTACCGAAATTCAATTATATGGCTTATTTATCTAAGAGCGGATGTTATTATATCTTGAATGAAGTTCAATTACCTTCGTTTTATACTTTCCATTCCAGTTCAAAAACCTATCTAACTAAGAAGAAAGCACTTTTCTATCATATGATATATACATATCTATGTAAAACTAAAGTAATATTTATCAGCGATTGCTTTGCTTCTAAAAAAAAGTAAGGATGAACTTTTGAGTAAAACTTAACAATGAAGATCTATCGAGAGTCAAAAAAAGAATTCTAGAAGGTTTTTTCTTTTTTTTGATTAAAAACAAACGAATAGACTTACGTAACAAAATTAAAATAAAGTTGATGATATAGTAAACTGCTTCCTAATGCCGTAGGTTTAGCATATATACGACTTGTCAGTAATGATTTTTCATTTGGATTTGTAGAGTTTTTTATTGTAACACTACGTACAAGTTTCATTTCAAAGACTGATGGTGTTGTACATATTAATGCAGCACACATAACACTGATTATAATTTTTCTTGCTCGGCTTACAGTACACCATGTACGACTTTGTAATGGATAAGTTACAGCAACCCAACGTTCAACTGTAAATGTAACTGTAAGCCAAACACTTGTATTTGATGAAAAATCTGCTATTGGTCGACATACTGTTAAAAGTATTGCGGATAATGAAGTACCAGTAAAACAAGGATGTTGAAATGTATTAAGTATAAGCGTTAATATAAGATAAGCGATATCAACAAGAGCTAATGCAGCTAAATAATTGTTTGTTGATGACATAATCATACGACGTTTTGTAAGTACAATTATGGCAAGAATATTGCCAGTTACACCTATGTCAATCAAGTATAAAGATATTTTATGTTTTTTAATTCTCTTATCAAGAAAGATCCTTCTTTTTTCTTCCAGAAAAATTACACCCTTTTTTGTTCAGCACTAATGACTAATTGATAATTAATAGTTCAAGAGGTATATTCTCAAAACAAATGTAATAATGTATAGTTTCGGAACTTGTAACTTATAAGAAGTCATATGAAGATTATGAATAAATCCTTTTTTTTTGAATAGAGAAACAACAATAAGAATTACCAAAACAAGTTATAATAGGCCAAAGCCAATTTTTGACTAATGTTCGAACAAAAAAAAGCTTCGGATCAGTAGTTTGTCGTGCTAAAATTGATGCATCACAATCGAGAAGTCCGAACATATCTTAATATTGATCGATGCTTCATATGTAATTAACCAATAATTATAAATATATGCACAGACATTGCTATTAAATATTGTTTATTTTCCAGTTAATATGTCCATATGATTCTAATCAAATAAAAAAGCAACAAATGTTTTGATTATGGTATTGATGTTAAGATAAGAAAATTTTAACTTGTTTTATCGTCTGGAATAAAAAAAAAAAATAATGAATCTATATTGTAAGATGACAACATAAGTAGAATTATGACCAAGAAAATATGGCGCATCTTACTGTGAATCACGCACACTTTTTTTCTCTAAGCATTTTAATATCTTATTGAATTGAAGAAGTGAGGGATGTAGACAGAGCAATACAATCTAACATACAGGTGTCATATTTATTTGCTAGGCTGTTTATGAAAATAATATACAAAAAAAAAGTGATAGAACAGAATTTAATTCAAGCAGAAAAAAAAAAGATTAAAATAAGTTAGAGCTTTTCCATTATCATAAGTGTTGCTAATGGAAAATGCTATACAGATCTAGATTATAATTAGAAGTCTTGTATTTTGTGTTTTTGACAATATAAAAACGAGAACTAAATTAGGAAATTACTCTGTTCGTATATTATCTTAATATTTTTTTTGTTAGTAAAACCAAAGTCTATTAATCAAATATGTAGAAAAATAAAAACTATTGAATATCTAACCGATTTGATATAGCTTTTTTAATTTATTTTTGTTTATCGCTACACAAAGAAGTACTTAATCGGAAATTAAATTCACTGAACTATGGTTCCTCGGTTGACGACAATGCATAACTGCATAATTCATAAGCTTACATGAAATAAGCAACCTATTAAAAACTAATGATAACCGTTTTAGATGAACACTAGTATTAAATAATATTAAAACCTAAGCATTATTAGCATTTAAATTAAGTATAAAACATTTGTATTATTTTGTCTTGGAATTATTTAGATGCTAAGAAATAAATAGTGAAGTTTTCTCAGACAAAACAATACCAATATTTAAGCAACTAAAATTAGTATTAATTAGAATTAATTCTAATCCAAAACTCGAATAAAAATAAATTACTTCAAGATTACGAACATAAAATTCTTTTTGCAGATTTTTTTCTTATGATTGACATATATGTATGTAGATTATTTTAGGAAAAATTCTTCGCTTATTTATAAGTGTATTAAATGGAAATATGCATAGAGTTAACTTCTTATACCCTTGTTCTCAAAACATATAATGCTTTCGTGATCATGCTCAGAACTTTTCTGATTGAATTAATAAAAATTGTTCACTACGTGCTTAAACGATTTCTTGATTATATACATTAAGTACTCTCACTTTTCAGACTATTCTTATTAACTGCATATATATATATATATACAAAAAAAAAAGTCACAAAATGAAATTGTTTATATTAACGAAGTAAAAACTATCATTGGAAACGAATATAAATTTAACCGAACAATCGATAGAACAGCGAAAGACTGGATAGGTAAATATTTTCTTATAATAATTAATACGAATAAACAATTTAAAACTAAGAATTGTGATTCTAAGCTAAAAACCATTCTTTTTCCTATTCCGTTCTCATTCTTATCTATCGAGACTTTTTTTTTGTTATAGCAAGACTTAATTACTTATCCTGCTGCAAAATATAAAGAAATAAGAACGCATGACAAAAAGAATAAAAACATGTAATAGTAAATAAGAAAAATTAAGCATTTTAATAGAAACACATTTTTCTAAATGTCTTTTTCTATTATCTAGTTACCCACTGTTTATGACATGCATTAGACTCATATGGTTACAACGATAGTAGCATATATATAAATATATACTAGGAAACTCTAAGATTTATTAGTGTATAGATATATATTTTGTTTCTTCAAATGAATAATAATGGATATTAATATGTCAGGAAAAAAAACCAAAATAATAATGGGAAAAAAAAATCAAACAAATCAATGTCGAATTCTAAAAGCAATATATATCACATATGAACATGTCTATAAAAATCCAATCACATTTTCTTTACACTACAGTGTTATCGACTATGACAAGAATATTGAATTATCTAGTCAATAAAAAAAAAATGCAGGTTTAAATCTATACTACATCATCATAATAAACAAAATAGATAATAGTTTTATTCTTTTTACCTAATGAAATATTAACGATAGAAATAAGATCAAAGATTTGAAACAATTAAAACAAAAAAAAGATATGATCGATTATTCGCTATTATATACAGACTGATGAATAATTTTGTTTCTTGTTAAAGCTTTTAGAAAAAAATAATAAGAGAAAAATGTCTATATTGATGACGGGAAAACGTTCAAATATTGTTTGAAACCATTTTATATCGACTATGCGCTTGATTTCATCATTTTTTCCTCAGTGAAATACAAAAGAAAATAAGTTTTTTTTAAGCGAATTAGAGCGTACTTAGGTTACTATAGATAGAGATATATGAGCAAGCAATTGTGTCAAGCTTCATTTATCTATTATCGTAAACAACAGATTAAACGATAGAAAATATTGCATGTAAATGTTACTGTCAAAAAGAACTTACTATCATTTTTCAAACTTAATATGTCTAGTATTTATAGACAATTGACAAAATACAAAAGCTATGGTAATTTTTTTGCACTTAAAACAAATCGTTGTACTTATTTCCTGTATTTGTGCATTCTACAATCGACAATACCTATCATATTCATCCTTGTTGTTCTCTTGTCAAATCTACCAATCGATGCTGTTCTAAGATCGTCAAGAATGGTGATGAAGCATAAAATTTCGCTTGTCATGTATGTAGCAATTGAGCTAATAATTAGACGCAACAACAAGAAGAGAAATATATAGATATGAGAATATTGAATATAGAGATACAAATATTAAAATCTACGTAGAATAATAATGATGAGATAAACTATAAATATTCTTGTATTTCTTTCTTCATCTAAACATAAAGAGAGTAGTCACATTGAGAAGTCTTTTGGCTAACTACTACTTAGATAATTAAATTATATAAGCTTTTTACTTCTTTGTCTTTCTCTTTTTTTTTGTTGTTACTAATCTCAAGAGATATCATATAGCAAATAGAAATTCGTATACACAGTTGGTTTTAATGATAAGGTAATTTATTACTTGTCATTAAATGTTCATTATCCTATCATTGAAAATACAAAATGAATGCAGCGAAGAAACTAATATGAAAATTGATATTCATATCAAATGGAACAAGAAAAAAGAAAAACTTTTGTTATTGTATAATAATAAAAATGACTAACTAATTAATTAAAATTTTCACACACTTACGATATAAATAAGCTTTTCAAATAATCATCTAAATCTATGGGCGAATTATAATTTAAATTTTTTATTCGTATATATCTTTCTCTTTTTGTTTCATGTAGATAAGCTAATCAAAAATAGTTTTGTTAAAGGCTTTTTATTAATAGAAAGAAAAGTCTTATAATGAGAAAAGAAAGCATGATAGACATGGTAGCAAAACCGAAAATGACAACGACATCACGAGAAACATGTCTTTCTCGCACTTTCTTCTTTCTATTGAATAGAGCAATCGAGCAATTGCTTCTCGCTCTAAGAGTCATATTACGTGCTTCATCAAATAACTGTTAATAGTACAAGCTATTTGAAAGAATATGTCTCTTTCTCATGCTTCAGGCTGATATAAACATCGAATAACAACGACAAAGCCTGGTTAAGTTATATAGACAAAAAAAAAACCATACGATATCCATGAGATAAATTCTATTATAAATACAAAGAAAGAACAAATTTAGCCGTCATAAAAGAAAAAGTGTATTTCCTTTCTTAGCTCATAAATCTTATTATTAGATTTGTTTCGTCAATCGTTCAAACAAATATTCATTTGTTCTTTGAAAAAAATTTATTGTAATCAATCTAAAATCTATCAGTTTATTAAATTATCAATTATAAAAGATTCATTCATTATAATATGATGCATGTAGCAATGTTCAATTTGCAAAAACACCATATAAAAACTTTTAATTTTCCCGTATTATCATCATTTCTTTCTCTTCATCCTTTCTCTATCATCTCACTCTTAATATAAGACAATGTCACTCTTCATTCACGCATGTATCTGCCTTGTCACTCGCTATACCCAGTAGAATTCTATTGAAATATAATATATTGATGTGCATTACTAGAAATGTTCGTCTTTATAAGTATTCTCTTATCGTTAACCTTATTGGCGTATATTTAAGGCTCACGATTTAAATCACTAAAAATTCGTATCGAAAGTCTTTATAATGATTAGATGGAAAGTATTTCATAAATTAATCATGAAAAAATTAACATGATTTACTATGAACATTATTATCGATCATTATTCTTGTAGTCAGATTTAACTTAAAAATGGAATACTGTTTTCAGTTACATCTGAATCAAAGCATAACTAATATTCAAATTTCGACAGCATAAATTTACAATTTTTTCCATTAATGGGTTTATGATTAATATAGAACAAAACAAAACAAAACTAAGTTTGTTTTTTTTTGAGTAAAAATCATTCGAATTTAGATCGAAAGTGAAGATTTTATTCAGCATAGTTTAAGATGTTATTTAATAGATTATTTACTAATAATAAAAGAAACTAGTTGATCAAGCGAGTTTATACAATACCAGAAGCAAAAGCACGATAATAATCTAGTTTATTAATATGCTAAAGTAATTTTCCGTATGGCAGAATATCAAACAATCATTTATTGTACAAATGTAGCATACATTGCAAACATGTCTCGAATAATTCTTCATGTTAGTTTATTGAGGTTAAAATCGTTTCATATTGACAGAGGTCGTAGCGGTCTCTGTGTTGAAATCAAGAAAATAATCAGAATAATCTCCAAGGAAAAACCAGGATATTGTACAACCTATTCTATGATTTGTTTACAAGATAAACTCTGCATATAAATGGATTAAGTAATGATCAATATATTATACTTAC